GAGAGAGAGAGAGAGAGAGAGAGAGAGAGAGAGAGAGAGAGAGAGAGAGACAGGCAATGACGCGGGCGAGCAGTTCGTCACGTTGAAGAACGGCAAACAACGCTTCATTCAGATAGTAAACATATTTTTATTTCCTGAAACTGTTCACAATGTCACATCAAGATATGTGTGGGAGACATGCGAGGTGTGTGGGTGTGTTTGAGAGAGAGTGGGAGAGAGACAGGTAGGTAGGACTGGCTCGTCAGACGAACCGTAGGCAATAACAACTTCAACGACCATTACCAATTCTGAAACCATTTAAGGATGAGGAGAGGGCGCTCGTTGGCAGGAAGCTCATGCGATGCCAGTCTCATCATCTTTGTGGATCACGCTTCTGAAAGCCCGACCGAAAGCATCTCAATGCGGGATAAATTACATATGCATCATCGCCGACTTCTACCTTAACACCAATGACATATGGCTCCAATGAGCTCGAACAACTTTTCCAATCAATTCGAATTGCGGGCAATGAATGATTGATTCTATAGAGATAGAATTATAGAAGTGGACACAACTTGAAGTAGCGATGTTATGCCCGGCCCGTCCCGATCAACACAACACGGGTTTCAAATAACGTAACCTGATAATCAGTTATTTCTACCTGTAAGTTATCTTTCAACAGCAATTGCAGAAAGACCTTTTTTCATCTATGCATCCAACTGGCGAATACCGAAGGACTAAATCATCTTCAGACATGACTACCGTAGGAGGGTTTCCCCGCCCTGACCGATCTCTCTCTATGACGAAAAGCGCTGTCTAAACTCCGTTTCCGCAGAGACGGAGCAACCAGTACATACCCACTCCTGAAAGCACAGGCACGGAGACCAATTCTCACAGCTCCTTGAAAAAAGAAAAAAAAAAAACAGATGCCCGGGTCAAGCTTCGACTCGAGCGCAGTTCTGTTTCTTGCCGCCAATTGAGGAAGTAAACCTCCACGAAGTGGCACGAACGAAGAATACAGGGACCCTCAACCCCGCCCCTCTCGCATCATACGCCCTCCGGAAAGATTAGAGAGAACTTAACGACAACAATGCTCAGCTCAAACAATCGACAACATTATTGACAACAACGATTCCCTGACCAACAGCGAAAATTGAACTTTCTAAAGTCTATATGCCACCGAGACTCTAAGTACTCCTTATTGGCTCTCGACATCCCGCGTGCAAATCCCCTACCACCTGCTGCCTAACTCTCTCACTGTTGTAAGTTAACTCTCTCGCTGTTGTAAGTATCGGCTAACGACAAACAGCACATCCTGGCCCTCCGATCGTGATCGGGAAACAAGGGAACGGTTCGTCTCGATCGCCGTTGAAGTTGCAGTTGAATTCCGTTAGAGGAGGTTGAGCAGGGCAGAAAGCCGCATAACAGAGTTGCGCCGGTATTGTGGTTACCTGGGACACAAAGAGATTGCTGTTGTTGCTCTCCTTGGCAGTGTTTTCAGAAAACTGGCAGTTGCAAAGGGAAAACTTCTCGTACTTCTCAATAAGAACTGCTCCAGCAAAGAACTCGGTCGCTTTGTTGTTCTTGAAAGTGCAACGAACAATCTGCACCTGCCCGTTACTTGCGTCGATTGCGGCCCGCTGGGCGGCCGTGTTCCCCATGAAAGTCGAGTCCGCCACGCAGTACGAAGTCTTGCTCCTCTCCCCACCCAAACTCACTGCATCGCCAATGCGCGCCGCCACATTCTTACTGAACGTGCATTTTGAGATAACTCCCCTCGTGAATGTGTCGCCTTCGGAGGTGCCAAGCACAAACGCAGAGTAACCAGCGTTTTCACTGAAGGTGGAGTCTGAAATAGTGAAGTTTCCAGAAATGCACAGTCTCGCCGTATAAGGGGCGTCGTTCGGAGAGACGTCGAAGTTGACAGGCCGCCTATTTCGTGCAAAGACAAGGTTCCTGCCAACGAAGCCGCCATCCGCCTTCACGGCTGTCAGAGCTGCGCGCCGAAATTCGATGTTCTCCATCGTCACGTGCACGGGGAAGACAAAGGCCGTAAACTTCCCCTGGCCGTCGATCACGCATCTTCCGCCGGGAGACCGAGGGCACTTGCCGGTGATCGTGATTGGCTTGGTTCTGAGGAGGGAGGGATGGGGAAGGACCTTGGTGAGCACGGCGTTCTCTGTGAGTGTCAGCTTGGTGCACTTCTCGTCCAGGAGAAAGCTTGCCAGGCGACCGGTCGGCGTCCTGATATCCACTCCGCGGGGCATACAGCTCCCTCCATTACCGTACACTACACGCACCTGGTCGCTCACAGTACAAGGGGCGTCCTAAAGAATGGAGAAGCCAAGTCCCCTGTAATCGCGCGTGCAGACGGTGCGAATGCCAGCGGGAATGCGCGGGCAAAACTTGGTCGGGTGCTTGTCAAGGACTATGAGCACGTTGCTGCTACTCCTAACGGCGCTGCCGGCACCAGTCGCCACATTGTTCGTGAACGTGTTCTTGCAGATGGACTCTCCCGCCCTAATCACGCTGATGGCGCCGCCTTCCTTCGCGGAATTATCCTCAAATGTGTTCGACTGGAAATCCGACCGGCCAGGCGACACCCCATAAATGCTGCTAACGTTGACGGCGCCGCCAAGGCCGAACGCGTTCGTGTTGTTCTGGAACTTGCAACTAATCACTTCCAAATTGCCAGAGGTGTCTGACAGCGCACCGCCTCATCCTGCAAACGCCGCCGACACGTCCGACGTAACAATATTATTAATGAAGGTTGAGGAAGTGATGGTCGTCTTCACGCCGCTGTCAAGGTCGATGCAGCCGCCGGTATTGCCTGCGCGATTGTTGCGGAACACACAGTTGGCGATATCAAGAGTTGAAATCGGACTTAAGAATGCTGATGATTAAACAGCCAAACCGCCACCAGAGCGAGCGGGGGCCACACTGCCCTCGAAATTGACTTCCCTCACCGTGGCTGACGCCACAACAATCAAGCTCAGAACTGCCCCACTATCCCACTGCAAAGTCCCGCACCTTTCAACTTGAGCCAAATTAGCTCTCGCATTGATAAGATGGAGATGGCTGATGTCGACACGGAGCCTTGGAGCGGGGCGAGAGCATCCGCTTGATCCGCTGATGAGAAAAATACGGTACTTGGAGTCGCCATCGACCACGCATTGTCGGCCACCTGCACACTGTCCAACGATGCGGATCGAGCACCTGACCTCCGACAAGTCCTCCGTCAACGTGATGTCGGCCTTCACCTCTTTTTTTTTTTCTTTTTTTTTTTTTTCACCTGGGGAGAGGCTCCATCTATTGGTGGGGAGCGTCACTGCTAGGAAACGGGTCTAGCATCCCATATACAGACTGCAATCAGAAAACATTAGAGAAACAATGTAAAGGGATCCTGCCAGCTTTAAGCATCCTGGATTCCAGGGGATTGATTGAGCAGGATATTGGAAAAGCTAAAAAAGGATGATGCATGGGTGATCATGGGAGGGTAAGTAGATGATGCCTGCCAGTATTGATTACTCGGGAGACCAGAGGATTGACTGTGCAGGTGTGCCCGACTAAGCCTGAACCGGACTTCAAGTTGTCCTAATACACCCTTATCATTATCTCCATTCCTCTGCCCGGACAGGATTTTGAGAAGGGCCACCGGGGGACACCAGTGGATCCTTCCTTCTCCTGCCCGGCCCTCTCCATCGGGAGTACTCTGCTGCCTCGTACTCCTACCCTCACTGTAGAAATAAGAATTTGATAGGTTGATGGGCTGCCATGTGAAGTCATCCCACCTGTCTCAATTCCAGAGACAATGGGTAGGGCGGGAATGGATCCAGGAAGTCCTCTGCTGGTCTCAAAGGAACGCTGCAGTCGATAGTCACCCAATCCTTAAACTTTAAACGGTAGTCTCTTGGCACCGACCTCCCTTCTTGTCCTCCTTCCCTGTCCTCCCCCCCATTCCCTGACCAACTCACCTCTGCTACCCACCCTTCTCGATCTCCTCCCAACCACTCCCTGGAGAACTGCCTTATCCGCTCCTCGATATCTTTTGCCCTGTGAAGGGTGTCTAAGGTGAGTTTGACAGACTTCCATCCGAATTCCAGTTCCATTTGTATATGTTGTTTAAACTGTTCGATCCTTTCCTCCCCCTCGACTCGTACCTGGTCGAAAACCAGAGCACAGCGTTGCCACCACAAGACCCAGAGGACCGTTCGTCTACCCAAGTGGAACATGTTCCAGACAAAATTGTTTCCTTGGAGAGGTGGATAATGTCCCAAGAGAATGGCGCGCCATTCCCACGGCCACTGGTGTCCTGGAACAATTTGCTGCCACACTCTAGCCCTTCACCTCTAGATTAGAACTGTCCTCGGGCATTGTAGAAAAATGTGTTATATTGTCTCGGCTCTCTTCTTTGTTGGAAAGCCCGACAGGCAGCGTGAACACCATGGAAGGGCCCGACCCTGTTGTTCCAAGTTCGTGTGATCAATGAGCCAATCGTTGGTTGGTAGACATCAGTGCAGTATCTGCCATTGAAGGGACGTAATCTTTGCGGGTCTGCACTTGATGTCGCCAAACCATCGAACGGGAGTAAGAAGCTGTCTGTCCACGTTAAGGTGCCTCTGTCATCTATCCATCACAACATCTTTCAGATTCCGTTTGGTTCTAATTTTTCTGTAGGTTGCTTTCACTGAGAGGTCGGCCAACGCTGTGGAGCGTGGCTGCCCCGGATTGTGGCGTGCTTCATAGGTCCAGATCCACTCCAGCGGGTCCAAAGGAAGGTCCCGAATGGCCGTCTCGGGCATGAATGCCTTCCGCTTCTCCCCTTCCCCTATAATTCTGATTCTGTATAGGGTCACCTTCGGTATCCATTGGAAGGGATCCCGGCTACTCACTAAGTGTCCCCCTTTCCTTATGCTGTACCATTCGATCAGTGCGTCCTCCGGTCGTACTAGGTGCACTAAGCCCGCTCTTTCCGTGCTCCCATCCTTGGATACCCAGTCCCCTTCCTGTAGCAGCGGGCCTTTGCGCAGGATGAGCCTCCACCCCACCGGAAGGGCTTCCGTGATCTCCTCCACAGCTGATTCTGCATTGTGGCAGTACCTCAGGCGCTCCTTCACCTCCCCCGGACTCTTCCAATCGTTCTTCTCCTCATCCCACAGGTCACCCACTCGGGTGATCCCATTCTTCACCCATCCCTTCCATGGGGTATCTGAGCTACAGTAGATCCGGCTCTGACCATTGGTGATCCAGCGGTTGCCGAAAAGGGGTTGTCTAGCCACTTCGTCCCATCTGGTTGGGGGTGGACGACTCGGTGGAGGAAGTCTCCTCCAAGTTTTTAACAGACGGGGCCAGAAGTCATCTTGGCGCTTCTCCCCCCCCCAGGACGTCGTGGCACTCGCCAATAACGGTCATCTAGCCATTGAAGCGGATGGATTGTGGGGGGGGGCTCCTGACATCTGACTGATTCAACAGATGTCAACCTTCACCTCGATTGCGCTCACACTCGTATCCGCCAACAACCTCTTCAAGTCAGCGAAATTGTTGGCGGGAACAGCCACCGCCAGACAGATGAAAAGAGTGGCGATGGCCAACAGTCGAAGCAACGGCAACAAGGAGATGGACCTCCTTGAAGACGACATCTCCCACCCCCCCCCATCGACGAAGCTGAAGCTCTTGCCTTCCTACACCACGCCAGTAGGAAGTACGGCGGCTGCTCTGAGCAAAAACACAACGCCAGCAGGAAATACCACCTGTACAACACACCGAAGAAAACGGGAGAGGGCGTAATGCAATACTGTCGGATTCTGAAAGAATTTAATTTAATTGATCCTTGCCTCCGTCCCGTTGGACGGGTACAGCCCCACTGCAGCCTTGTCCCGCGCGCCGCATTTGTTCGGTCCGTGGGATTTGCCGTACGGAGCAGTGTACCATCGGGCCCTGCTCGGACCGCTTTGCCTGGGGCGCACTCAAGATTTGAGGGCCGCCGTCTTTCACTTTCAAGGGAGGGATGGAAGGACGCTTTGTTGAAAATACTAAAGGTGCATGTTAAAAAAAAAAAAAAAAAAAAAAAACTAAAGGTGCATGTTTGCAAGGGGTGTGGACGGAGGCTCCAAATACCAGAAGGATAGGGAAAAAAGGAGAACGTTTTCCTTTTTCTTTTTCCTTTTCGCCTGTAGGGCTGTTTCGTTAGTGGCGATGTACTCTGCTTGAATCCGGGGGCCAAGTCCCACCAGCAGCGTTGGGTTCCGTCAACGTCTGAATCTGGACCTGTTTGTGGAGATGTGCGATTGACGAACGCAGCCCCAGTTCCTGCACATCGCAGCAAACACGTCCAGATTGGGGCGTTGAGGAAACTCAACTTTGCTGCTGGGACTTGGCCCCAGGGGCAAGTCCCACTCTTATGGATACAAGTCTACCCACTGGGCACAGCGCGGGCCAAGGGGCAGGGCTGGGGAAAAGGATATGCTATAAGCGGGAGAAGGGAGGGCGGGGGCAGAAAGCATGGCAGAAAGAGAGGGGGGGAGACTCCTCCTCCTCCTCGTCATTTCTTCCTGTTCATTATCTTTTTTTTTTTTGAACCACCAGTACGTTTCCCAACCATTTTTTCAGTGTCATGGCATGCTTGCAGCTGCCACTCTGGGGAACTACCTGGGTGCCATTTAGTTGGGTATCCATTTAGTTGGGCAAAAGGGTAGAATGCAAGGCCCGTTTTGCCTGGATGGATATCCAGCTCCACAGCACCCTGGAACTACCCGAGAGTCACAGCTGCATGTGCGCCGCTACTCTGAAAAAATGGCTGGAAAATGTATTGGTGGTTGTGCCCCACCACTACCTCCTACACGAATACACGCGGGCATTATAGCTGTACTTGGGGTAACTTTCAGTCTAGATACAGCAATAATGACCACACGTTGTGTTCGCGTGAAGACGGTAGCTTTTTTTTAAACCACCCCTCTAACCGCTTCTTGGAAATTGCCCTCCCTCTGAAATTCGGCGGGTTTTTCAGGGGGGGAGGCGACCATTGCCAATCAGCGGGCCTAGCCATGCAATTTCAAAGCCGCGTTTTTTAAACTTTTTTTGTGCTCATAAGAATTCACAGAAAGCTTTTAAAATTCGGAGCTCTGTAGACGAGGTCATGATCTTTCCACGAAAAATATCAGAAAATAAAAGAAAAAAAACATTTTGACTGTGAAATAATCACAGAGCCGATTCTGTGCATTTCCATTATTTCCGAAGGGTATGTGCAGGAACCCGCACTCAGCAGAGGCCGGGCTGTGTGACCACGCACTGCCCAGCCCAGCCCAGCGTCTGGCCAGTGAGACCCAGCGCTGGACTGGGGAAATTCAAAGGT